GTTGATAAAAATAAGAGGCTCTATCGTTTATCTGAAAGCGCACACTAATTTGATTTCTGATTCTTCATCTATTTCTGCAAGTATCTAATTTTCAGCTGACTTTTATAGGATATTACCCTTTAACGCGAATTACATTAAAACATTAAATGTTAATTTTTTAGTATTATCTATCTTATAAATCATGGACTAACATATTTGATCAAGTGGATCACAATTCACACATTTCCAGCATCTTTCTTGACTTAATTTTACCACTTCGATTTAAGGTAGGCGACTTGCTACGTGCTAGTCATATGACTGGCTTGTTGATTATCACGTTTAGAAAGACACTTGGGATAATTTTCCTACGTGAAAAATAGTTTTATGAATTAAGGTGTAAAAGTTTACACGTAAAAAAAAATATATATCTTTATATCGCAGAAATAAATTCTGTTATATTTTTCGTTTGACTCATCGGTTTTGATCGGCTGTGCATCCGAGCTGTCAGAGAGGAGTATGGGTAAGAAAAATACTTGTGCTAATTACTCCAAAAAGAGTATCGAAATGCAAGAAAAGAATGCCAGTCACTATTTTTAGCCGGCCAAGGAAAGCATAGTTATCGCATAACTATCAGTACAGTCATTAGGCAGCGACGTTGCCAAGTCTACCTAACCTCACCTCGACTAAAAAAATGTCTGCTCGGTTGCCTCATTTTCACAAATATTAACTAACAAATTCTAAATGAAATCTCCGGTGAACTAGAAGAGACCGGGGCTATGTGTCCACACTTTACGCTTTTTTCAAGTTACTTTTCAAGTAAATTTTCAATAACCCTTCAACCTTGCTATAAAAAAAAACAATTAGAATCGTTAATCTTTTAATATTTTAAAGAGGCGAATTTTTTAAGTGGGCAAGTCAAACGTAGATACATATAGCCCCATATATGCGGGGCTATCCGTCCACATAATAAAAAACACATTATTTATATTAATTTTTATAATTATTTATAATATTATTTATTATTAATATATAATATTGAAAAAACTGCCTAGTCGTTGGAGTCAGAGCAATAGTAAGCACTTTGTGTAGATTTTTTGACAGGATTTCTGCGTAGAGTTGACTTTTGCTTATATACGGTGGCATCAAACTGATTTTGAGTCCGTTGCAAAATCAATGTAATGAGTTTCTTTTGTCCCCTCAATTCTTTAATCTTTTTCTTTTGTATTTAGGGTCTTTACTATATTCTCGGCAGCATTTAAAATAGAAAATACGCAATAATTTAAGATAAACTCATATACATATTTAACTTAACGTGTATTTTTAAAATAAAAATTTGGTGACGATTCTTGAATCGCAGGATCAAGTAACTGCTCGTAGGTCACTTTTTTACAGTAGCGAGTGAGAGCCTGAACACTTATTCCAAAGTCTAATGCTGTATTTGTGAAAAGATTCTCGCTCGATTTTTATTCTTTTAATCGCTCTAAGTATAATTTTATTAGATATGTCTACCTTATCCGTCTTAAGGGGATCCTACAGTGACTGGCGAACTTCCTCGATGTCGATAATGTCAACCTTTCTAATTTTGTTTTCCCTATATCTGTCTTTGTCTAACGAAATGACATCTGTCCTTTTTTCGATTGCTCGCCATCTCTCGCAAGATCCGTGAACTACTGCTGTGACATAATTGCTGCTCTGCGTGAATATTTTTGTGAAAAATATACACGATCGTTTCAAAGCTCTCATTTTTATTCCAGGCTTTCAATCTCAATTTCAAAGGTACGTTATTGTTTGTGCACGTCTTCTGAAGGGTGGGAAACTTTAATTTCGTACATATTACGTATACAACTATTTATATCAGAAAATAAGGTTATGAGATGACAACATTTAAAAATTTTTTTCAATTATTACTAATTATTTGACAATCCCACCCTTCATTAGTACCTCTACTTTACTCCTGTAAAAGGATTTTGCGATCTATAAAGCCGTTTCAAAATGAGAGCTTTGAAATGTAATTGTCGGTAATTTGGACGGCTTTAGCATCCCCTTAAGGAAAGTCTTTCTTTTGTAGTTACGCACCATTATCTATTTATAAAAGTACAATCCGTCATTGAAGTGTGGACACATTGCCCCATCAAAAATAAGACAGATAGCCCCGACCACGTTTTTCAGACTTTACCATGTTGCCAATTTTAGATTATGCGGAATTAAGATTTGACGTTTCTCACACCTGATAACTATATATTACTTGATAATATTATGCATTGCTTACTTTAATTTGAGTTAAACTACTGTCGCACAGTAAATTTTTCGACCGTCGAAAAATGTGAATAATTGTTTTCGCTTTTATTTTAACGTATAAAGCGTCTGCGAGAGGCATCGCAAGAAAACAAACATCTCTTACGTAGGGGATTTTTCAACTACTTGTTACAATGGTAGCGACATCTGTCTTTTAAAACTTGAGATAGCAGCTAGTACTGTGGACACATAGCCCCCGCAGACAGATAGCCCCGGTCTCCCTAAATATTTTATGGTGGCGTTAGATTCCTTGGAATCTAATCTACAAAAAGACATGTTTTTTTTTCATTTCGTGTAATAGAAAAATTTGAAAATTTTGTGATTAAAACCGTGACGGAGGCATTTTTATTTGGGGTCCCAAATAAAACTAGTATAGTATAGTATAGTATAAACTAGTATAGTAATTTTACGATTTTTGCGATTTTACTCACTTTCTAGTCTATAGTCGATAAAGAGCCGTATAAAAAATTTGGTGTAAAGCTGATCGCATATTTTTATATAATATCCGGAATCTAGCACTTTATCTAATACATGCTCTAATAAGACGACTGCCTTAGTATTTTCTCGCTTCTGAACAAAGAATATTTATTATAGACATTTTTTTAATCTTTTTATTTATTAATTTTATTTACATTTTTCTGTTTCTCGTTTTATTAATTTTTATTTTTTTTTACTTTATCTAGATAATAACTGGTTTTTCTGTTAATATCTATCATATTATTATTTATTTTATTTATTTACTTGTTTTTCAATTTTATATTTTGTTTTTCTACTTGTATTTTCAATTTTTATATGTGGTCTCTTGATAGACTATTTGTAGCTCAGTTTTAGTTTCTAGTCTTTTATATGCCTTTTTTATTTTTATCTGTATGTTCAATTATTTTTAATTTTTAATTTTAATAATTATAACTTAGAGGAAGGGTGGGTAAAGTGAAATACTCTTCTAAATAGAACCACCGCGATATCTAGAATATTAAGTGTTACAATTTAGCGGACAGCAGTGGAATTATTAGTTGCCGGCTCTATAACATAACATACAAAGTAGTAGCATGGTACAATGTGTCGTTAAATAACAAATTAAAATTGAAATCGTGTATCGCATACAGCGTAAGGTGAGTATATAAATTATTTTGCAGTTAATCTACTTAACAGATTCTTAATTGCTTTTTGTTGCATGTAAAACTAATTGTAAGATAGAACTTTAGTAAGCATACTTAGCAAGTGTCATATGGTGTACATTTCTATTATTTATATGAAAAGGTAAAAATAGTGATGTGTGTGTCGGACAAGTCGAGATGGTGGAAGCAAAATTCTACGGCTTAACAAGACGAGACTTGATCCATGGCTTATCAACTCGTTGTATATCCGGAATAAGCTAAAAAATCCATTTTATGAAAAAAGCTGGTGAATATTGTAATAAATTAAAATTAAAAAAAATATATAATATAATAATTATTATAGACTATTTTATTATTACACTTTAAATACTTATTATTAATGCCTCAAAACACGACAAAAATTATTTTTTTGCAAGATTAATAAAGTGGTTTACCTTGCCCGACACGGTTCAAATTACCCGACAAAAATCTACTTTCGAAAATTTTGTTACAACATTAAACTCACTTTAAGGTTAGGAACACGTTGTAACAAACATTTGGCATTACAACTCAGCGTAAACAAAGTTCAGCTATCTTTAAGGTGGTCCTTTCGTGAGAACAAGTATTAGATAGGTACCTAAATTTGATATATGTTAAATATACAGTATTGACCTAACCTAAATCGAGTCCAACCGCACTACTATTGTGATATTTTTTTAATTAGTAAATAATTAAATACGATTAAATCGTGCGTGTAAAATCATATTATATTATTATAATTATTGGGATGTTGTGTAATGTTTGTCAATATGTTTGTTTTCAATTACCTCATGACGGACTGTTACTTGACTAGCTGGGTCCGCGAAAAGACCACCTTAACATGTAGTTTTCAAGTTATATTGAAAAAGACTTAAGGTGAAATTTCATAAGCAGTGAAAAGCAGCAGCAGATCGTACTGATTGGCTACAAAATAGAGAAGTTCTAAAAACTCGAGAACTTCTCTATTTTGCAGCCAATCAGTACGATCTGCTGCTGCTTTTCACTGCCCATGAAATTTCACCTTTAGGGTGGTTTAAAATGCCCAAACTTCCTCTAACTCTTTTTATATTATTTTGTATCGGGTAAAGAAGGAGTTCTCAGTGAAGTTCGAAACGAACTGTCAAATTTATTTAGTTAATAATAAATCATATTTTACGTTATTGATATCTTGATTGTTTATTGCTTCTCGATTTTTTAACTTTAGTAAATAAAGGAAAGTGACACAGCATTTTAATGAAAATGTTATGAAAATAAGTAAAAAAAAATGTATATATACACGGATTTCAGTGCTTATATTTTCAATTCATGGAAAAAATAAAAATTTACTTGTAAAATAAAAATAGAATTAAATTACTTGAAAAAATATGCAAGTGTAATATATTGTTATAAATCAGCATAAAATTTTATAGCCTTTCAAATTTGACATTATTCTTCCAACAACAAATATAGCGACGATTGTATAGTTTATACATATATAAAATTTATACATTATTTGTTACGTATTACAATAATATTAATAAAGTATGTTTAATCTAGGAAATCCTTTATTTCTATACTTATTGCTTAACTTGATGTTATTGTATGACGTACTTTTCGATTTTGACGGCCATTCGTAGTTCTTGCACTGTTTGCACTGGCTCCAGACCTAATAAAGCCTATTCTTTTCAGCTGAACTTCTTGCACGGTTTGTCTTTTCTCTTTTTCTTTCCAACATGAAAAGAAAAAGAAGAAAGATGAACCGTGCAGAGAAGTTTAGCTGAAAAGAAGAGGCCTCTACTATACTAGTGCAGTCAATTCAGTGAACTGTTGCACTGAGTTTCGCTGCACTGCAATAATGAACAGCGCTGTTGACACTAGTTCCGCAATAGAAAACGCTCTAGTGTACACTTCTTGAACTAGTGCAGCCAGTTCAGTAATAGAAAAAAAACCTAATATTGAAATACACAACTGTTATAACTTTATAATAAATAAGACTATTCTTAGATACGATGCAGAAAAACTGTTACCCACGTGTTAAAAAGATTTACAGTACCAGAGAGAAGCCTGTTTCTCTCTGACATTACTAATCAATATCAGAGAGAAACCTACTGAGAGCGGCCACTGGAAGTCATATCCTGATGCGCCTCCTGAGAAAGTGCAACTCAACTATGTTATGTCCGTTTCGCTCGGTAACAGCCATATTTCGTGTCTGTGCTATATGATTCATGTCCAAACTACTCAGATAAAAAATAGTCGAGATGAGATAAATAGATGAGGATCGAAACCGACAATCATCTCGACTATCTTTCATCTGACAATGAGTAGTTCGGACATGAACCATAGCACGGACACGAAATATGTATGTACATACATACTACTGTTACCGAGCAAAACGGACGTAGTTGAGTTGCATTTTCTCAGAGGGTGCATCAGAACATGACTTCCGGTGGTCGCTCTCAGATTCAATACTGTCAATAAGTCAATAATCAGTTAATTGTGAGCGACATTTAACATCAAATCCCAGATTGCCAAGCGTGATAGAGCATATTGAGCAAACTAATGCATTGCATGTGTTTTCATATATTTGCTGTAAATTTGCTGACATCGAAATAGAACACAAATACAGCTACGTGACTGCTTATACATGCAATCAGTTGACGCAATTTCAAGAGCAAACGGTCAGCAATATTGGTACGTTATGTTGTCTGCAACATGCCAGCAACATGACAGCAATGAATGATTCATCGTTCCATCTTGAGCATCATGATGCAAACATGACGGCAACAACACACACATATATATATATATATATATATATAATGATTTCCATCCGTTATTGTATATATGTCATCAAACTATGAAGTTTTTTAATTGTATTTCGTTGCTAACGAAGTGTTGACAATATGAAATTGTCACAAATCCCTCACAAATTGATGCTGTTACGTTGCAATCAATTTGCTGTTAATAGAAATATAATTCATATGAGTTCAACCCGACAAGCATAATGCTGTCTCACCTTGTCCCGAGTTTGTCAAAATTAGTTGCATTAACGACAAGCTGCTTGTTGGCAATATGGCAGCAAACTCACAGCATTTGGCTATCTGGGCATCTTCAGTGTCGAATTACAAAATTAGTCAGTCGGTTAGAATAAATATAGCAATAGTTACAGTTACAATTAAAAATTACGCATTAGTTGAAATTGTTGTATTGTGAGTGGAGTGTAAAATTGTAAACTATACACAGTGGCACTCCCCGGAAAATTCTATCCCTATTTCATATACTTTTGGTAAAAATTCGGTTCAGGGGTTTGGGCTGGGCGTTGATGAGTGAGTGAGTGAGTGAGTGAGTCAGTCAGTCAGTCAGGACATCTTCTTTATATATATAGATAGACAATTTTCAGTAAGTAACAAAGATAGAACGACGCTGGGTACATCCAAATAGCTTCCGAACGCAGCCTAAAAGGTTGCAAAACATTGGCCGCGTATCGGACTTCTTCTTCTTCCTTAGGAGCCATTACCTAAAGAAGAAGAAGAACTGAAGAAATCCGATACGCGGCCAATTTTATATGTTGCAACCTTTTTTTTTTAGTAGCCGACTGTATGTATGTACATACATACAAAATTCATTAAAACAATCACCTATAGCATAAACTATATGAAATCTGATAAATGCGATGCACGAAAACTTCCTGCAGGAAACGTAGACTTAATTTAAATGATATATTGATAATATAATTTATTTTCTAAAATAATAAAAGGATTCAATGCAGAAATAGTTAGTCCCGCACTCAGTGCGGGAATATAGTGAGAAATTTCTCGTATATCATGGAATTAGCTATTTGTCGCACAGATGGCGCGCGCGGAATGGGCCACTTTTCACGCACGTGTAATATAATAGTTATTTGTGTAATAAGTGCGGAAAGTTGAAAATTGGACACGAGTGCGGAGTGGACGCACGAGCCGAAAGCGAGTATATATATATATATATATACAGGGTGTGGGAAAAGTATGGAAACCCTGAAAAATCTCGAAAACTATAAGTTTTACAGAAAAATGTTTCATACAAAAGTTGTACGGTTTCTAGAAGAAAATATTCCATCTTCTAGGCTTTTAAATGGAATAAAATCAAAAGTAGAGCTTCAAGCATTAAATTTTTTTAATGATAGCGGTGAAGAACTTGATATTCTTCACCGATATTCCAGCTATAAAAAATTTATTTATGAAATACAATACACCACTTTCATCATCAGCTCCAGTAGAAAGACTTTTCTCATTTGCGACAATGACAAATCTACCTAGGTTACATAAATTGTCGAATAATATATTCAAAAGAAGAGTAATATTAAAAGCTAATATAAAACTTTTGTAATCAGCATTATTCTATAGTGGACAGAATCTATAAGTATACTGCAATAAATAGTTGTTTCTGTAGTAAAAAGAATCTACCATTGATAATATATCCACATTACAATGTATTTACTCGTACATATATTACCTTAAATATATAACGGTTGAACACTGTATGCAGATTTTAAAATACTAAACAAAATTACTAAAGCTATGAAACGTTTTATCTAAGTTATGAAAAAGAATAAAAAATGTTTTTTTCTTAAAAAAATAGTATATTGTACAACTAGTGGAAAAACTCGCTTCGCTCGTGCGACCAACTTCACACTCATTCAGAATCGACCACTCTTCCCACGAGTTGTTCATACTATTTTTCCTAACAAGAGCGTTTCGCGCTTGTTTTATAATTTCATTTCTCCACTAGTTGAGAAATGGCTCCATTTTTCAACTAGTGGAGAAATGGATCGTTTTGCTCACTCAAAACAAGCGCGAAAAGCGGACCATTTCACGCTCACGTTAGGAAATAGTATATTGTACAACTAGTGGAAAAAGTGGTCGATTCTGAATGAGTGTGAAGTTGGTCGCACGAGCGAATCGAGTGCGACCATCACACTCATTTGGGCTCGACCACTTTTCCCACGAGTTGTTCATACTATTTTTCCTAACAAGAGCGTGAAACAGGCCGTTTTTCGCGCTTGTTTTACAATTTTATTTCTCCACTAGTTGAGAAATGGCTCCATTTTTCAACGCTTACGTCATCATTGCGAAATGGATTGTTTTGCTCACTCAAAACAAGCGCGAAAAGCGGCCCATTTCACGCTCGCGTTAGGAAAAGATAATTTTTACATTGCTGTAAAATTGCCATGCTTCTGTTCAAGAGTTATATGAAATTATTACGAAAAAATACTACTTGGGTTAAACGTGGTTTTCAAAATAACGACAAAGTTTAATCCTACGCAACTGTTGTATTGCAATGTCATATATTTAAAGATTATTAGAAAATAAATCTTTGATTATAATAAATTAAACGTCTTAGGTATATTAATGCATTGAAATGAAAATGGAATGCATGATTTGAATACATATGCATTACGATAATTAGCCCAGTCGATAGAGCCCGAAAAAGCCACAGAAATGGAATTAATTCCGGGAAGCGATTTTATTTTTTTGACTGTTTCGGAGGATCATGGGTAATCTAAAACCGGATTTTCGGGATTCTAACCCTGGAGCGTTAGCCGCCATTTTGATTAGAAGGGTGATTTTGTAAATAGCTCGCTTATTTTCAACTTTAGAGTGAAAGTGATAATAACCAAACTTGTAGAAAATTTAATACTCTACAATTTTGGTGCTTATCATTTTTCACCTAGGATCGATATTTTGGGTCTTAGACTCGAAAGTGGGGGGGTGAATTTTTTTTATTTTTTGAATAAACGCGCCATAAACTCTACCCCCGTGGTGGTGTGGAAAAGATGTTTTTCATTACACCAAGTAAATTCAAAAAATAAAAAAAAATGAAAAATTTCATCCCCCACTTTCGAGTCTAAGACCAAAATATCGATCCTAGATGAAAAATGAAAAGGACCAAAATTGTAGAGTATTAAATTTTCTACAAGTTTGGTTATTACCACTTTCACTCTAAAGTTGAAAATAAGCAAGATATTTACAAAATCACTCTTCTAATTAAAATGGCGGTTAACGCTCCAGGGTTAAAATCCCGAAAATCCGGTTTTAGACTACCCATGACCCTCCGAAACAGTCAAAAAAATAAAATCGCTTCCCGGAATTCTTCTTCTTAAGCACCATGCTCGCTTCGGACGTTGGCGACTTCTCTTCATATACATGTGCTGCGCGTGTGGATTATACACATTGTATATGGGACCTACAATTTAACGCCAATTCCGAACGGCTATATTTAGAGAAGTTTTTCTTGGCAAGACATACTCTCGGTGGTTTGCCATTGCCTTCCGAGAGGAGAACGAGCGAATATAATTTTTTTCTTTTTTTAGCTCTACCGGAATTAATTCCATTTAAATGTCTCTATCGACTGGGCTAAATGTTTAAGCAGCATGCTGCCTGGGTGGGTTGGGTGACCGGCTGGAAAGTGGATTTTTTCGGGCTCGCGGCTGTACACACACGGCATATATGTACCCGCAAAATTTATTTGTTAAAATCTGATGTATCTGATAAGTAGCATGTCTATGGCAACGTATTAGCATTCCTTCCCTGACAACCTAATCAGTAGACAAATCAACACCAGACTTAAACAACTCCGTCACCGTGGCGACAATGATGATAAAGTATGCACCGACACTTTCGATGCTCGAAGATACCTAGCCATACCGCTTGTTAAGGGTCTCAGCGAGAATATACGGTTCGCGTTGAATAGAGTGGGCCTCGATACGGTATACACCATCCCGAAGAAGCTCGATGTATTAATAAAAAAAGGAAAAGATACACTCGATAAGAACCATGAAACCGAGCTCGTATAGGATAAACTGCAGTAATTGCGATGCGTCTTATATCGGGCAGACAAAAAGACATCTGCAAACGCGTATCAAGGGAATGCTGGAGTTGCAGACGAACTCGATCAGCGTCGATAAAGAAGTGCTCACCGATTCTTACACATACATACAGAGCGCCTGCTCTAGGGCTACCCGTTATACTGATCCATATGTTTTTGGCTGAATTCGGGGAGACGCGTAACATGTGCATATGAAATTTTCT